ACTTACGTATACCTACGTATATACTACGTAGATAATAGAGGTTAGGCAGTCTTTATTATCTATGGTTTTATGATCAATGTTATAAAAAGTTAATTGTGCATATGACACTGAAATCACTTTATTAAGTTTTTTAATTCTAATAATCCGTGTACATTTCATTATCTGTGTCCATGTTCTACTTGCTCTTTGTCTCCTACTCTCCCAACTTTCTTTTGATTTTTTTTTAATCTTATATGTACTTTCTTTTCCTTTCTGGGTGCAGTTACAAGTTAACTGTATCATCCCTTCAGATCTATCTCTGTTTCTGTTCCTCTTGTCTCTCTTTCTCTCTCTGTTTTTTCAGAGGTCTGTAAAATTTTAATAATAATAATAATAATAATAATGATCAATGTTATGATACTGTTTACTCTCAATATCTGCGCATGCCAATGCCAGCTGCCAAATTGGCAGCTGGCATTGGCAGTGCCAATGCCAGCAGTGAGTTGCGGTAGTTGTTTTTTTGTTAGCTAAAATAACAATGAAACCAATAATGTAGCTGTTGATAAACAGCTATTATGATAAACAATCAAGTAATCAAATCAAATTCATTAGCAAAAGGGTGGACCAAAACTAATTAAAACATCACATGAAGATGACTGAAGATATAAACTCATGCACGATAAAGAATTAAAACATAACAACTCCCCATTTTATTTGTCTCTTCATGATGAACATCACATCACCAAGGCAATAGATCACCATGGCAACATATGCACATTGTACATAGGCTTGAGTGTGATTGCTTGTAGTTTAGCTATTCCAGTGGAACTATTGTCAGCTGCTGCTGTGTAATGATAATAAATCGCATTGTTTAGTATAAAGTGGAGTAGGAACAAAACTTACTTTGGGGGAGCAAAATTTCTACATTGACTCATCTCATGTCATAGTTGTTTAATAATAACTGCCAGTTCTGAAAAAGAAGAGTGACAGAAAAATTTGTGACCATAATTGACAAAAGGGCCCTTATGGCGGATTTTAAAATTGATCGTTATAATGGAAAATATCAACCTGTGAGTGCTTTGTTAGACAATCATTGTTTCTAAAAGTTTCATGGTAGCTTTTTGCATCCTGTGAAGTAATTTTATGATAAATGGGGCTCAGGAAGTTGGATTTCTTAGGCTAGAAAGACAGATTTCCCTACCCGCCATAAGGTACCTTTTGTCAATTATGGTCACATTTATCAACAATTACAATGTTTTTTCAATCTACATTCTTAATTTAAAAATTTTATCTAAGCTCTTGACATGATTGTAACAGTTGCTTCATTCTCAAAAGTTTTATGAGTCTCATTAACCCATTCCAGGTTACTGAGAATGACAACACGTAATTGAATTTGCTTTTGCAAGCAAAATG